AATGAATATGCAGTAAAAATCGTTTGGAGAGTGCTGCCATCCTGGAAGTGGGATGTTGCTGATCAGTTAATTATTAAAGCCCTTTCTTACACCACTGATACTAAAGAGCAAAAGAGACACACTAATGAGGAATAAGTCCACGAGCAGGTAATATCATCACTAACCTCACCTTACACTTAACCCTCTTCTGTCAGCCATCAGGTCTCTCACCATAACAATATGGAAATTGGGCTTATAAGTGACTTCCTGCTCCACTACCCAAAAAGAGATTAAAATGCTGACTCCTGGTCATGATTTTCCTAAGTAAGCCATCATCTTTGAAAACTCGTGGCGAACGGGGGAAGTCCCGGATGACTGGAAAAAGGCTAATGTAGTGCCAATCTTTAAAAAAGGGAAGAAGGAGGATCCTGGGAACTACAGGCCAGTCAGCCTCACCTCAGTCCCCGGAAAAATCATGGAGCAGGTCCTCAAAGAATCAATCCTGAAGCACTTACATGAGAGGAAAGTGATCAGGAACAGTCAGCATGGATTCACCAAGGGAAGGTCATGCCTGACTAATCTAATCGCCTTCTATGATGAGATTACTGGTTCTGTGGATGAAGGGAAAGCAGTGGATGTATTGTATCTTGACTTTAGCAAAGCTTTTGACACTGTCTCCCACAGTATTCTTGTCAGCAAGTTAAAGAAGTACGGGCTGGATGAATGCACTATAAGGTGGGTAGAAAGCTGGCTAGATTGTCGGGCTCAACGGGTAGTGATCAATGGCTCCATGTCTAGTTGGCAGCCGATGTCAAGTGGAGTGCCCCAGGGGTCGGTCCTGGGGCCGGTTTTGTTCAATATCTTCATAAATGATCTGGAGGATGGTGTGGATTGCACTCTCAGCAAATTTGCGGATGATACTAAACTGGGAGGAGTGGTAGATACGCTGGAGGGCAGGGATAGGATACAGAAGGACCTAGACAAATTGGAGGATTGGGCCAAAAGAAATCTGATGAGGTTCAATAAGGATAAGTGCAGGGTCCTGCACTTAGGACGGAAGAACCCAATGCACAGCTACAGACTAGGGACCGAATGGCTAGGCAGCAGTTCTGCGGAAAAGGACCTAGGGGTGACAGTGGACGAGAAGCTGGATATGAGTCAGCAGTGTGCCCTTGTTGCCAAGAAGGCCAATGGCATTTTGGGATGTATAAGTAGGGGCATAACCAGCAGATCGAGGGACGTGATCGTCCCCTTCTATTCGACATTGGTGAGGCCTCATCTGGAGTACTGTGTCCAGTTTTGGGCCCCACACTACAAGAAGGATGTGGATAAATTGGAGAGAGTCCAGCGAAGGGCAACAAAAATGATTAGGGGTCTGGAACACATGACTTATGAGGAGAGGCTGAGGGAACTGGGATTGTTTAGTCTGCAGAAGAGAAGAATGAGGGGGGATTTGATAGCTGCTTTCAACTACCTGAGAGGTGGCTCCAGAGAGGATGGTTCTAGACTATTCTCAGTGGTGGAAGAGGACAGGACAAGGAGTAATGGTCTCAAGTTGCAGTGGGGGAGGTTTAGGTTGGATATTAGGAAAAACTTTTTCACTAGGAGGGTGGTGAAACACTGGAATGCATTGCCTAGGGAGGTGGTGGAATCTCCTTCCTTAGAAGTTTTTAAGGTCAGGCTTGACAAAGCCCTGGCTGGGATGATTTAATTGGGGATGGGTCCTGCTTTTGAGCAGGGGGTTGGACTAGATGACCTCCTGAGCTCCCTTCCAACCCTGATATTCTATGATTCTAAGTATCCAGGTAGTAGAGATTCTAAAATCATTCTCTTAGCAACTATTGAGAAAACTCATCAAAGCTCTTTGGAGCAGGGACCCTGCCTTCCTTTATGTTTTTGCAGTGCATAGGCCCATACATATGCAGGTAACACATCTGTCAGCAGGCTCAACCCTATGACCTTCAGTACCAAAAGCCCAAGACCCTACCACTAAACCTAAAAGGAGAATTACTTTAGTAGTAGTATGCATCCAATGAAGTGAGCTGTAGCTCACGAAAGCTTATGCTCTAATAAATTTTTAGTCTCCAAGATGCCACAAGTACTCCTTTTCTTTTTACTTTAGTAGTGAGATAGTAGAAGGCTGTATAATTGTTGGGACCAACCACTAGAGGGAGTCATGATCACACACACTAGGCCATTGTATTACATAGGCTCATTTTGGACACTACAGGAAACAAATAAAAGAATAGATAAATCAGCTGATGCTGGATATGGTTCAAGGAAAAAAGAAAAATCATATTTACTTTCTTTAAAAGCACTTTACTGTCAGAGACTCAAGATTCTCTCCTGGGAACTTTCAAATAATCTGTAATGGAAGATTTTAGAATGTACCTGATTGCCTATACTTTAAGACAGAATAAAATATTAGACAGAAGAAAGGAGAACTTGTCAGTTTTAGAAACTGAACTCACAGGATTGCGTCTTAGAAGATTTTAAAAGTTTTAATATGAGCCAGTTTTTACTGCCTGTTTCATTTGAAGGCGCCTTTGAAAATCAAAAAGTAATTTTGATCATGTTTTTGTTTTTAAGTTAAATTGATCCAGTTGTGACCAGCATGAACAGGCACTTCCAACGGGCTGTTTTCTCAACAAAAAGATTCCTCCTGGCAATTAATAAATTCATTAACAAAATCATTTTTTCTGGCAGGCAGTGAGCAGCAGCCTCCAAAATCAATAACTGTTAAACATTACCACCACCACTTTTATTTTTTATTTTGGTCATTTGTTTTTGTTTTTTAAAAGATATCAAACTGGTTTTCCCCTTTAAGCCTCTTGACAACAAACCATGAACCAATTTATCTGGCTGCATCCAGGGGATTTTACCCTGGGCTAACAATTTTAACAACTGGCTAAACAGTTTCAGTAGCACTTAAAGAGTATTTATACTAAGCTTTTATTGCCCTGCTTGAATCCTGCATGTCATTAGTAAGGGAGGGCACAGACAATGATCATCCCCTGAACCAGAATCTACCAGACACTTCAGGAGGCATGTTAGTGAAAGTGGCCTGAGATTAACAGAGGATGTTTAACCACTGCTGAACTACAGAATATTTGACCGCTGTGTTTTCAACATGTTTATGCTGAAAGTGGAAATGTTGTACATTGCTGTTGCTTGGACATGTCAGCCAACACCTTGGCAACGCAGAAAGCCACAAACCCAAAAAACCTTTTAGATACTTGTTGTGGTATTGCTTCTAACAAGGACAGACACGTAGATTCAAGGAAATGCCGTGGCTTGGGAAACAGGAGAGAGAGTGCACATGGGTTGAGGGCGAGAGCACACTCTACAGCAGAATCACATTTCCTTCTCGCAATGAGCAGCCATGGTTAATAATATTGCCACCTGTAATCATCTCAGCCTGCGAAGTAAACAGATACAGCGTGGCAAACAAACTCAGTTCCCTTATGAAACACCGAAGTATAGTAACTTTAAAGGTTGTACTGCATCAAAATATACTTTTCTAATCTTGGCTGTAGCAGTAACGGTATAGTCAGCAGGTCTCTGGAGAGGGTCCAAGAACAAAGGACTCAGTCATTACTTAGTTTGTAAGCTCTTTGGGAAATGGACCATATTTTTATTCTGTGTTTGTACAGTGTCTAGATCAATCAGGTCCTGGTCCATGATTGTGGCTCCTTACAAAATAAATCATAATCCCAACAGAAGAGTTCAATCAATTATAAGAAGTCATCGCAGGCCCACTACTGAATGAGGTATATTTCTCATAGGTTAAGTCTGCGTGGGATGCCAGGATCAAGATGACAACTTCTGCAATTCCAAAGTTAAAGCAAACTCCTTCCCTTCACGCCATATCTCCAGGAAAGGTTATACAAAACAAAAAACATAACCTCTCCTTTTTCTGGGCGTCTGAAGCAAAATATACAATTCATACCTTTTGATGTAGATGATCTATCCAGATAGGGAGTCAAACTGAGAGTTACTTCAAGGAACCAGATCTTAAAGTATTTCCTGCAGAAATCCCAGGATATTGGTCCTCAGGCCAACCTGGTTTGACCAGACTCGGTAACCAAAAAAAGCAGAATTGACATGTTCCCCTCAAACCAGTTCTACATATTCAGGTGCAAGAAGCAGTGTTGGATCTTCTGGGAGCTCTACAGTTCAAACTCTGAACATTGTCACTTAGAACCTGGACTAAACCAAACTTAAATCAGAGGTCTAACAGTGATTAGCGCACAAGACAACTTGTTGCAAAATGCAGCAGATGCACTGATTATATCTCCCTCGTTCCCACACCAGTGTAAAATACCACAGTGACTATAGAGTCCAGTTATGGTGGCAGAGTCTGGATAATTTTATACCAGCTATATCATGGCAACAAATTAGCTTGCAAAAAACACTCCCAACCCCAAATTCAGCAAGAGGGCCGAAGGTGCAGTAACCCAGGCTCCTCTGAATGTCTAAGAGTAGCCTACTATCAGAATGCCACTAGCTGAAGCCAGAAATTCAAAGTCTTCTCCCATCACCTGTCAAGTCAAATTTCCAAGTCTTTGAAGTGCTCTTTTCTACTAGCCTAATCAAAGTCACACGGACCCAAGGATTTTTAATCTTCCTCTACATTCAGGGGACTAGTCTGTTTAGCTGTATTATCACTTTTAAAAGTGAAAAGGGTTGGGAAACCAGCTCACATTCCATTTGCACCCTGAAATCATTTCAGCCTCGGAAGTAAGCATGGATAAAAGTGCTCCACACATTTCTACATCTCCAATACCCAAGACCTTTCCAAAAAATCTATGGTGTTCCTTTAAGTCACAGTCACAAATGTAACCTTCACCACCAGCATAGTAAAGATAATAACGATACAGAAGATTTCTGGGAGGCAGTAGGACAAAATGAAGAGCAGCAAGTACAAAAAGTATCTGGGACTGCAGCCTTTTATTTTCTCTTTACTTGTATTAAAAGTAACAAATTCCTGCAACACAACATTCTTTGTTGGCAGCACCTACCTGTTTGTGATGGTAGAGTTCTGCTCTTTCAGCACAAGCTCCCTCTGTTGCAGGGCAACAATCTGCCTTGAGAGATCATCAGGGGTCCTAAACAAAACAATAATGGAAAGAGTTAACGAACAGAGACATGCCAGTGGCTGAACAATTAAGTCCCAGGCATGACCATATAAAAATAATGACAGAAAGGCAGACAAGATTGTTGCTATAGGCTGAGGCTGCCACAGTCCATTACAACAGCTGAACTATCACAGGTTTGTATATTGTCAAGCACACACAGCCAGTTGTATTTATTCAGACATCAAGTCCCTGCTGTTCTCTAATCCGCCCCCTTCCAATGAAGAGGGCATCAGCTCCATCACACCATATCAAGCCTTAAGGGTCTAAGAGACCACATTTCCTATCCTAAGCTAGTTACGTTTCCCCGCTTGAGAAGAGCATTTGCCAAAAAGTGCATTGCAATTATCTCTGCCCATACCAAATGCCACAGAACAGGTCCTTCCATTTAGATGGCCAATGAGCACGTATGCTATAGGAAAGTGCATACTATAAAGAGAATCGTCTTATACCACAGTGGAAGTAGATGGTGTACACTGACTTTATACCAGAAACAGTCTCAAGACCTAGAATTTACTTGACAGTGTTGCCAAACCGACTAAACGTTCAAGATAGCCAAAGACTGCAGATTCTACTTGGTTTACTTTTTAAAACTCAAGCAAGTAAAGGAATTTCAATTCCTGACTAAAAAAAGAGACAGAAAATGAATCTTTGAGCCTGCACACAGAGGTTTTGATACACTGAGCAGCACTGCCCTCTGCTGGATGGAACACGTCAGGCTAGTTCACATACCTGAGCTTGAAGAGAAGAGAGACAATTTTTAACACGTCTAGTAAGCATTTGTTTTTGGAGTTAAAGGCTTTGCACCTATTTCCAGTGCTGCATGCTGAAGAGTCACAGGGTAACAGATGTGAGTAAATGGTGGAGAGCCAACTTCACTTGCTCCCATAATCTGAAGGAAAACAGATTTAATAGCAAAGACTACTTTTCCTCTAGCTTGATGAGTCATTTGCTATTGAGTTCTCTAATTTCCAATCTGCAGAAACCAGGCTTCAGCCTCTGGGACTCTTGATCCAATTCACAAGAAATGCTGATTCTCTTTCCCCACTGTCTACCTAGAAAGTCCTGGGCTGGGGTGGGAATAAACAGAAAAAAGATATGACAGGGGAATTATAATTGACAAGGGGAATTTGCCTTCATACAAACCAATTATCCTCTCCTTTCCACTACCTCCTCTATCACTTAGTGGTGATTCCATAACAGTACTCACTAGACTGAGTAGACATGAACCCCTGCCATTTGACAGGGATATAATCTTTTGAAACCCTGGCTCATGTCTTGTAACTAAGGCCAGGAGATAAACAGTCTCTTACCAGAACTCCTACGTGTCACACATATTACATGGTGCCAGAAGTAAACTGTATCTCTGGCAAAAATTGAACAAATTAAGCCATCTGAATCTCCCAGCTTGGAAGGGAATGAGGCAGAGAACCCAGGAGGGATGGGGAATAGCATCACTTCCAAGATTTAGTGGGAGCAAGGAGCAGTGCAGAGAAATCAAGAGAGACAGAAATCTTCCAGATGCACATATGTGGCAGGTTCAGAGACACTGAAGATCTAAATTCATTCCAGTGGCAGCGTAAGAGGGGAAGGGAGGGGAACCAAGAAAGATGAGCCTGTAAACCTACAGATTAAGGCTGTGTCTACTCTAGGGATTTCAGCCATCAGTGACAGGCCTCCAGTGTAAACCCCTACACTGTAGACAGGCAAAAATGCTGTAAGCCACTATTTGTACCCCTGCCTGATACTGGGATAAGTTGCGTCCATGCAAATCCCCCTAATAGCAGATTTGCCTGCCTGCAGTAGATGTTTCCACTGGCATAGTTACACTGGTGGCTATATATCCAGGATAAATCACCACTGTAATCTAAACTTGTCTATTCAAACATTTCATGAATTCATACCCTGCAAAAATGTCACCTGGGAAAGACAGTTTCGAGAAACCAGGTGCAAAGTGAGACTATTGATCATTATGGATCTTTGTATGGAAGCTAAGACATTCAAATTTAAACAATTAAAAAGATGGACCAATTAGAGTGCAAATTATTTGGTATGTTACATGCAAAAAAATGATGTGGAAAATATAGTATGTGATCAAGTAATTATAGATTATCATAACACATACACACAGGGAAGATGAATCACATTTGTAAAGGCAACCTTCATTCTGGAATTTTCTAATTTTTGAATGCCTGCCTTTGTAATCTTAATATTCTTTTTAATGTTAGGAGAGGCAGGGTGTGTGTGTGTGTGTGTGTGTTCTGTAATATACTGTTTTTTTATAGAAAGCTAACTGAAAATCAGAAATATCATGTTGGCCATATTGCATTTGTATTAGCAAAGTTCATTCATTCATAGATTTTAAGGCAAGAAGGGACCATTAGATCCTATCAGCTAACCTCTTGGATAACTCGGGACACAGAATTTCATCCAAGTACTCCTGTCCAAGCACAAAAACTTTGTGACCTTTAGATCTTCAACACAGCTCCTGTCTCAATCTCCTCACCAGCTCATCACCCTTCTCTATTTCAGACAAGCTGCATCTCTTTCTGTGCTGCCTTGGCACCAGCAGAGGGAGCATTAAAAGACTAGGAGACTAGACCATCTCCTGGCTCTCAGTCCTGGTGCCCAGTACTAGAGCAGCCCCAACAATTAAGAGGAGCAATTATAGGGAAAATTCTGCTCAGCCCTGGGATGGAGCATGCTCTGTGAGGAAGGTGCACGCTCAGGCTGGTCAACACAGAGCTGTAAGTGGATGAAGTATTCTCAGTGCAGGCAGAATCCTCAGAGAATTTAGCTGCCAAATGCTAACAAGTCAGTGCACCATGTGTGAACTACAACACTCAGAGGCTTACAACTCATCCAAATGTGGGCAGATTTTCACAAGAATGGCAACAGGTAAATCCCTGACAGCAGGGTGACCACTGCTGCCAAATTCTGAGTTGCTGCGCCAAATTACTAAAACTTCTCAGTGAATCAGTTTTAAGAATTTTTAACATGAACAAAAGTTCCCTAATTTCATTCTGAGAAATGCCTGAAATATTTTTGCTGAAACTTAAAAAAAATTCAGCTGTAGGCAGACTCCCAGCATGGAAGATATCAGTTAAAATTTGGCAAAACTTATAAGCAACTGCAAAACAAGGTCTTTTAATGGAAAGTGGTCAGAAAATCAATGATGTTCAGAGAGAGCAACTGCCAACAGATTTCCAATCAGAGGCCAAATCATCCTCCTCTGTCACAAGGTTCAGGTCAACAATCTAACCTCCAACCTCATTTTATTAATTGGCAGCTTTGGGGTTTGTGGTTATTTTTGGTTGACATGTTTTACTAGCATTTGATTTAAAAGAAGGAGTGTGCAGATTGACAATGAAGTTAATAGAGATTACCTTCTGCCATGCAACAGGGGTATTAGCTTTCTAGAAACTAAACCATATGATGGGGTCCAGGAAGTAAAACCAGTCTCTTGCAAGTAATCATCTATGTCACACCTTTATTACAGATTCCAAAAAACTATTCACATCAAAATCCCAGCCAGGTCACATAAGGTGCCTTCTAGGTCATCAAAGCCAAACTCCGCACACTTTTCCCACTTTGCTTTTTAAACATACGCACATGCAGTGAAACTAAACCAGCCCAGCTTTGGTACTGAACAGGGCAGGTCAGAGTCTACATTTCACTCTACTAACAATGGACCTTCACTGATATAAAATGGTCCTCTCTCTTCAGAGGTTTATGGAAATAGTGGTGAATGAAAAGATGGCAAGTACTTGTCAGCATCCCAGTACACACTGAACGCTCCTGCATTTGTTTGCCTCAAGCCTTTTCATTAGCCTCACTGAACATACCACCACCCAGTAACTATAACAGTTCATACCAGTGATTATTAGAGAATTAACCAGATCATTTTTAAAGGACCTGCCTTGTAAAACTAGCAACCAACCTCATATCCATATTTTCCCAGCACCCATCGCTACTTCAAAGAAGTTAAAGCATCTAGCGTTTTTCTCCACTTTATCCCCAATATTTCCCAGGCATGCATATGGAACAGGCCTTTCCTCACATTGTGTAACATGTACCCAGTGCAAACTCATGGACAAGGATTTTTCACAGTATAATGGAGAACTCAGACCTGAGCTTCCACAATGCAAGTTTGATTGAATTGCACAACTATACACACAGACTTAGTGACCTGATTTTGGGGTGCAAGGTTGTTAGGTATTTACTCGTCCTCTAAATGACTATAAAAATGGACAGAAGGGCAAATGAAAAAACACAAAGCAGCTTCGGTATTTGAATTCCAGTCATTCAACTCCTGTCTGACTCTCTTGAGCAAAATGCAAGGAGCTGAAATCTGGATACTGCTTTTCCCTCTCAGAGATCAAATCTCCTTCTGCAATAAACCTCAAAGCAAAATCCTCCTTTTCAGTATCTGGGAAGCAATAACCAAACAGTCAGGAGCATTTGATACCAATTTAGAAACAAGGTTTTTGCCCTAAGGTACAAATTAGCCCAGCAAGGCTTAGAGCTGGAGTAAGGAAGTCAAGAGACAAAATTACACTTAACCAAAGCACTCAGATTTTCTTTGAAATACAGAAAATTTGAAAAGGAGCAATTTAATAATGATAAAAAAAATCCACGACTGCTCAAATGAAGTGAAAAATTAAACTGAATAGGATGCCCATCCAAGCTACTCTGCTTTAGTCAGTGAGCTTTCAGACTACCATTGGTAAACATTATGCCAAGAATTTCTTCATCCACTCAACTGGAATTTTGTAGAAAATTGCCAGAAAGTTTCTCCATTGTGCTGTCTTAGTTAAGAGGCTATTAGCATTTCTGTTATAAACTCCAATACTTTGGCATTTAGAACTAGCTGGTTTTAAAAGCATTAAGCTGAGACTCAGTAAACAGCCTAGACGCTAACCTTTTTTGGTTAAAAAAAGTAAAATTGGATAAAAATGTTTCTTCATTTAAAA